TAAAGGTAGAGAAGAGTTCACAGGGACTGGATGAGAGGGTGTTAATGAGAGTGATAAAATAGGTCTGCTTAGCAAAGAGGAGGCGATAATTATATTTTTGGAAGACAGATTTATATTGCTTGAAGTCCTTCTGAGACTTAGTCTTATACCACAGACGCTCAAGAACAAGCCTACGTTTTTTGAGCCTTCTGGTGTCATCTGTTTGCTAAGGTTGTAGGGGTCGGTGCATGATTCTGTGTGTAGTGAAGGGGTCGAGCGCATCCAGGGCAGAGAAAGGGAACTATTGTAGACAAAAGTGACTAGGTTGGGGCAGGACAGGGTGAGATTTTGTCATAGAGATGGCTTATCTCAAGTAGCACTTGAGTCTCTCCTACTGGTCATTATTGCATGCCTTGCTCATATATAAGAATACACTGTAGATTTGTAATTATGAGATAGTAAGCAAAAATGTTTGGGATATGACAGTTTCTACTCAAGTAGCTACCAAATGTGTAATTTGTCTCTACAAATGAACCTCAAAGCAAGGCGTACATTGTATACAAAATCCTCTTGTTTCCTTCCACTTATGGTTACTTAAGGGAAGCTTTTAGCCCAGTTCATTTTTAATAAGCCATTTTTTGCATAGTGGCTTATATTTTTTTTGCATTTGCGACACTACACAGCAGATGACTGTCACCGCAGTGATGTACAAATTAGTCAGAGACATTTGCATTTGTCTGGTATTTAAAATGTATTGTTTACTGTCTCTTTTTTTCTTCGTTTTAATATACGTATTTATAAAAGTAAACAATATTTGTCTATGTATGCAACCCTACACTATTATTCTCATCATGGATAACAATGGAGTATACATTTTCCTACCTAGGTAAGTGAGCTATACTTTCAAACATATATGTGAAGGTTGTAGAACAAAAAAATAACTAAACAAAAAACTTTGAATGCCTAAACAAAGTATTCAGATGAATTTTGCAGTTTGCAAAGCTTGTCAGCATCTAAAGTATAATTACTGTATGCTTTAATGCAAACATGTTAAAACTGTGCATGCATGCATACTTGCTAATCTGCAGGGGCGGACTGACCATTCGAGTACTCGGGCACTGCCCGAGGGCCCGGGGTCAGTAGGGGGCCCCATGAAATGTCCCTGGTACCTTTTATAGGCTTTTTTGGGTGTGCTTTGAATGTGGTTGAGGACACAGGGGCCCCATGATCCCCTATTGCCCGGGGGGCCCCATGAGTCGTCAGTCCGCCCCTGCTAATCTGTGTCACCTTTTGTATTTGTATTATCCAAATGTCATATTATCCATGTGCCATTTTGCCTAGTCTCTTCCTCAGCATAAGGCCTCTTGCACACTGCTGCCAAAATCCTGAGCATTTACAGGCATACAAATATGTGCAAAACAAACAGTAAAATTTCGGCCAGGAATACTGATGTTCAAATATCAGTAAACATCAGTACCATGTGCAAGTATCTTTAGTGGGAGGTGATGAAGGTGGTGCTAGAATCGGAGGGTAGTAATATAAGTAGAAGTAATATAATCATTCCCTTACAGGACGTTTTTGGTAGGAACTATTTTAATTGTTTGCCAGGAACCAGAAGTGTAATAGAGCAGCAGTTCTATCCTCACTTAATTCTCACTCTTTTCCACTCTTTGTTAAAACTAACCCTCCCCCCCTCAATAGAACCAATCACACTAAAGATATACATCAAATGTAGAAAAACAATTAAGTTAATTAGAAGTTGATTATACTTACTTGCCCTTGTTTTCCTTGCTATTATGGCAGCTAAACCATACTACCAAAAAAAAAAAAAAAAATCATTGATGACTTGCTTTTTTTTTCTTACTCTCTGCTAGCCCACCAATAAAGTATGTGCTGCACAAGCGCAGGCACAGTTGCATTGCTTCTAGCAAAAATGACAATTACATCATATTTGTCAGATTGTGCAGTTTGCAAAGCAAATCTCCTTGGAAGTCAATGGTGACATAGCCTTCCCAGGTAGCATCTGTGAGGCCCTAGTTACATCACCAGTCTTAAAAGATCAGGAAGTATAAAACTATTAAATATAAGAACTTAAATAAAACATTAATTTGACATATCACTATACTAAATAAAGGGTGTTAATTGTTTGGCATGCAGAGACGACATGGCATTTTAGATGATCCTTGAAAACTCATTTATTCAGGGAAGCCTACCCCACCTTCACCTAAGAACTGTACTTGAGTCATCTCCATCAGATCATCCCCTGCAGATATTACCTTTTGTACCCCTTCTCCCTTTAGATTATAAGCTCCATGGGCAGGGCCCTCCAATTTCTTCTGCATCGAACTGTATTGTAATTGTACTGTCCCCCTTACATTGTAAAGCGCTGCATAAACTGTTGGCGCTATATAAATCCTGTATAATGATAATATTAATAATAATGCAGAGCTGATGCATCTGGATTTTTTCAGCTTTGGACAGGAAAGGTTCACTTTAATCCATGGCTTCTGTTTTACTAAATGCAGATGTCTATCAAATCAAAATGGAGAACATAGGGTGGGAATGGGAGAATCCACATTGTTCTGTACTGTGATGGTCTCTGCCTCTGATACAAATGTTGGAGCACAATGACAAAATAAGGAGGAGATGAGGAAAGCTAATGGATTTTGAGCTGTGCAGCCAAAGATATGATAACAAAAGAACATAGAGAATCCATTCCAAGAGGTCATACAGTCATGGCCGAAATTGTTGGCACCCTTGATATTTCTCCAGGAAATCATGTATTTCTCACGAAACGTATTGCATTAACACATGTTTTGCTATACACATGTTTATTCCCTTTGTGTGTATTGGGACAAAACAAAAAAAAGGGAGGAAAGAAAGCAAATTCGACATAATGTCACACAAACCTCCAAAAATGGGCTGGACAAAAGTATTGGCACCCTTTCACAACTGCGGATAAATAAGAATGTTACAAGCATGTGATGCTCCTGTAAACTCACCTGGGGCAAGTAACAGGTGTGGGCAATATAGAAATCACACCTGAAAGCAGATAAAAAGGAGAGACGTTCACTTAACCTTTGCATTGTGTGTCTGTCTGTGCCACACTAAGCATGGACAACAGAAAGAGGAGACGAGAACTGTCTGAGGACCTGAGAACCAAAATTGTGGCAAAATATCAACAATCTCAAGGTTACAAGTCCATCTCCAGAGAACTAGATTTGCCTTTGTCCACAGTGCGCAACATTATCAAGAAGTTTGCAACCCATGGCACTGTAGCTAATCTCCCTGGTCGTGGACGGATGAGGGAAAATTGATGAAAGATTGCAACGCAGAATAGTCCGGATGGTGGATAAGCAGCCCCAAACATGTTCCAAAGACATTCAAGCTGTCCTGCAGGCTCAGGGAGCATCAGTGTCAGCGCGAACTATCCGTCGACATTTAAATGAAATGAAACGCTATGGCAGGAGACCCAGGAGGACCCCACTGCTGACACAGAGACATAAAAAAGCAAGACTACAGTTTGCCAAAATGTACTTGAGTAAGCCAAAAGCCTTCTGGGAAAACGTCTTGTGGACAGATGAGACCAAGATAGAGCTTTTCGGTAAAGCACATCATTCTACTGTTTACCGAAAACGGAATGAGGCCTACAAAGAACAAAACACAGTACCTACGGTAAAATATGGTGGAGGTTCAATGATGTTTTGGGGTTGTTTTGCTGCCTCTGGCACTGGGTGCCTTGACTGTGTGCAAGGCATCATGAAATCTGAGGATTACCAAAGGATTTTGGGTCGCACTGTAGGGCCCAGTGTCAGAAAGCTGGGTTTGCGTCCAAGATCCTGGGTCTTCCAGCAGGACAATGACCCCAAACATACGTCAAAAAGCACTCAGAAATGGATGGCAAAGAAGCGCTGGAGAGTTCTGAAGTGGCCAGCAATGAGCCCAGATCTAAATCCCATTGAACACCCTGTGGAGAGATCTTAAAATTGCTGTTGGGAAAAGGTGTCCTTCCAATAAGAGACCTGACGGAGCTGTTTGCAAAGGAAGAGTGGTCCAAAAATTCCGGGTGAGAGGTGTCAGAAGCTTATTGATGGTTATAGGAAGCGACTGATTTCAGTTATGTTTTCCAAAGGGTGTGCAACCAAATATTAAGTTAAGGGTGCCAATACTTTTGTCCAGCCCATTTTTGGGTTTTTGTGTGACATTATGTCATATTTGCTTTTCTGCCTCTGTTTTATATATTTGTTCCAATACATACAAAGGGAATAAACATGTGTATAGCAAAACATGTGTTAATGCAATACCTTTTTTGTGTGAAATACTTGATTTTCAGGAAAAATATCAAGGGTGCCAACAATTTCGGCCATGACTGTAGATCTTGTCCTGCTGCTATGTCTGCAAAGCAATCTGGAAAGCTTCTGGAAAATCCACAAGACTTATAGGGGGCAAATAAATGAGGCATTTGTATGGATGTAGTCAGAATCCTTGGAACAGTTTCATGAAACTCTGTGACATTTTCATTGTTAGTATTCACATATGCAAAAATGTAAAAAGGGAATGTAAAAATTATCTCTTGCAGTGGGGCTGTGCCCAAAAAGCAATGGTTAATTGCTTGTTTAGGTCAATTGGACTTGTTAAAGGAGATTTACTTAACCGCTCCTCCATGCTTCTAGACCAGGGGCCCTGGGGCCAGATGTGGCCCTTTGCTTGCCTTTGTTCGGACCTTAAGGGCCTTTATTCCTGCCACCAACAATGAGCATAATTCCTGCCACTGACATCACCAATGGGGCATAATGCTTCCACTGACAACAAAAATGGGGCACTATTCCTGCCACTGACACCAATTATTTCTCCTCTAACACAAAAGATTGGGCATTGTTTACTCCCACTGGTCACAGTCCAACCCCTGCAAAGTCTGAAGAACAGTAAGCTTGCCCTTTCTTTACAAAGTTTGGAGACCCCTGTGCTAGACTTATCCCTGCAGTGTCTTCTCCCCTAAGCTCCAGCGGTGTAATCATCAGGATCAATGCAGGGTCCTTCCTTCTGCATTGGATGTGATGACACCGTGTCAGGAATGGACTCAGCACTGGTGGTGGGACTCACCTGCCATGTGGGCTGCAGTACCAGGGCTGACCAGCGGGTGCTCTCAGCAGCCAGAAGCTCACTCCTGCAATCAGCCAAACCTGGGGCTGATTGCAGAAGGTGTATTTAAGGAATGACCAGGCCTGTGATCAGGGCCTTGGTGTATGTTTTCCCATGAGCCCCTGTACCTGGTATCCTGTTTTCCTGCTTCGTTGCTGACCCTGCTTGATCCTGACCTCTGCTGACCGTCTCCTGTTGAACCCCTGGCTTGCCTGACCATCCTTCTGCCTGATCCCCTGTACCACACTGCCCGTAAGTTACTGAACCCAGCTTGTGACCCTGACCATTCTCTGCCTGCTCCTTTGGTACCTTGCTGCCCGCACGTTGCTGACCTGGCCCATCTGACCACGCTAACTACTCTGCCATCCATCCATCCTGCAGGGATCCAGCCGTCCCTGCTCACACCTTCTGCCTCTTCACATTAGGCTTTCTACCTGCACATACCTCTGGCGGATCCCTCTACCACTAGCAGGTGTACTCAGGGGCCGCGACCTGGTTCCTGTCTGCTCCAAGTCCATCCCCACCATCAGGGGTCCTGGTGAATAAGCAGACTGGGACTTAGACTCCGCGCCCTGGGGAATCCTGTCCTGAGGACCGCTAGAGGTACCACCAAATGGTCATTACAGAACCCTACGGCCGGCCTGACCATTCCACCTCCCCAGCCCTGACTACACCTGTGTTCCTGCACGTACTAAGATTAGTGGAAGGTTGGTTTGTTCACTGTGAGTTATATATCTGGGTGGCTATTCATAATTATATTGTACCTGAAGTCTGCGTTTCCCTGTGTCAGTCCACACCTTTCTGGTCACTCCTAGATTCCTGACACACCGAGTGATAGTCCCCACCACTAGAGCATGGGGGAGTGCTGTCAAGTAGGGTAAAGTGCTTCTCCCTTAGCCTAAATGAGCAGTTAATCCTTGTAGTGCAAATACAGCTCCACTTTAAAGGATCATTTTCAAATCTCCTGAAGTTGGGCTTTAAGATACAGCTTTGATACCTGTGTTGGTGGCACACTGGCCAAAGCGCTACATCTGCAAATGTAAGGTCCTGAGATCAAACCCAAGCTTGCTAAACTGCACATGGCAATAAATTGTGACACTGAGTTGGATTTGGTGAACCTTACTTGTCATCCATTGGCTATGGAGGACAGATGTTACTAAGCTGTGTGTGCTTGCTTCAGCAGCACATATACTAAATTTGGAAAGATACAGAGAAGATTAGCATGGATCCTGTGCAAGGATGACAAGAAAATTAATGAAGTGTTCCATTTTTTGATATCTTTAAACACTATTCACATGGCAATATTTCAATCACAAATTGTTTTTTAAAAAAAGGTACGTCATTTGGCATTGGGTGGAGCCATGCAAATTATGATTTTTTTGTCCCAGCAGCTAGCTATACAGAACCAGAACAGCTGGTTTGTGAAAACAACAAATCCTATAATTATAGATTGACTCTTCCTAATAGTCTTCTTAATATTTTTTTTTACAGAATTGCAGATCCTTTCTCTTTCCCTACGCCAAGTCTATTTGCATTTGCAGAACTTAGTTTTATGCCTCTTGTGTTTGATTTGTTTGTCATTTTTTATGTGATAACTCAGTCTACTATAGCATACATACAATCTGGAGTCAATCAATCAAGCCAGTTTTATGAAGTGTGTATATTCTTTACATACTCTTTATTGAACAAACCTCATTTTACGAAAAAGGGAATCACATGTACACTATATTCCCAAAAGAATTAGGATTTCCCTCCAAATCATTGGATTCAGGTGTTCCAATCACCTCCATGGCATCAGGTGTATAAAATCAACCACCTAGGCATGCAGACTGCTTCTACAAACATTTGTGAAAGAATGGATCGCTCTCAGGAGCTCAGTAAATTCAAGCGTAGTACCGTGATAGGTTGCCACCTGTGCAATAAGTCCATCTATGAAATTTCCTTGCTACTAAATATTCCATGGTCAACTTTTAGTGGTATTATAACAAAGTGGAAGCAACTGAGAACAACAGCAACTCATGCAACATGCAAAGGGTCAGATGCAGTAGTGTAAAGCACTCAGAGACTTGACTCTAGAGCAGTGGAGACATGTTCTCTGGAGTGACCAATCACACTTGTATGTATCTGGGTTTGGTGGTTGCCAGGAGAACAGTACTTGCCTGACTGCATTGTGCCAAGTGTAAAGTTTGGTAGAGGGGGGGGGATTATGGTGTTGGGTTGTTTTTCAGGGGTTGGGATTGGCCCCTTAGTTCCAGTGAAGGGAACTCTTAAGGCGTCAGCATTTTGGACAATTTCACGCTCCCAGATTTATGGGAACAGTTTGGGGATGGCCCCTTCCTGTTCCAACATGACTGCGCACCATTGGGTCAAACATTCCCATAGACACACTCCTAATCCTTGCAGACACACTTCCCAGAAGAGTTGAAGCTGTTATAGCTGCAAAGGGTGGGCCAACTGAATATTGAACCCTACGGACTAAGACTGGGATGCCATTAAAGTTCATGTGCGTGTAAAGGCAGGAGTCCCATTACTTTTGTCAATATAGTGTATAATGGAACAAAACTTCATGCAGAAAAAAAGTTTCATTTAAATGATAAATGCACCTCCTAGGACCAACTGTACAGACAAGTGGCAATCTCCCCAATCTATAACTAGCCTTTGCAGTAAGGTGCACATGGAAGATCAATGCACATCACAAACAAGTAAAAATTTCCCAGCAAACGTACCAGCTAGCCTGCAAAAAACAAAAAAATCAAATTGTCCCTGTCTAAAAATTCATGTAAAAACAGAGGGTTTATTTTGCACATGTTTGCAAATTTATGTATAAGCCACAGTGCAAAGTCAAGACTCCTCTGTAACTGCGATCCTAACTCTATAGGTTTGAGAGTCTTCAAGTTGGAACACTTATAGCAATGGATAGATTAAGGACAGGTTTGCTTGGAAGGAACCCACTTTTCCTTAAAGGCACAGGGATGCCCAGGGCACCCAGCAAGAGCACAATGGCAGCTGATGGCATCCAGTGCATCCCTGCATCAAATTCAACCAAATTAACAAGCAAGTGACAACCACCCCAACCTATAACTAGCCTTTGCAGTAAGGTGCACATTGAAGTGCAATGCACATCACAAACAAACAATTTCCCAGCACTCTTACCAGCTAGCCTGCAAAAATCAAATTGTCCCTGTCTAACATTTCCCATTAAAACAGACCTTCCAGCTCAAAATCATTTCTCCCTACCAATCGATAATACCTAAAAGTACATTTCTTGATCACACTATCTTTGGATGGATGACACTATTGGATGTGGAAACAAATCCAACAGCTTTACCCCCATTGTCTTGCATTGCCCTCTGTGTATCAAAAGAGTTTGCTGCTCGTCAGGCATGTATTCACATTGAGACTATTGAAGGTTTCTCCTTAAAAATGCCCAGGCATGCCTAGCATTGACTAAACCATTCCTACCTGCACCCCTCTGCTTCGAGCATTGACAGTGGGACTGAATACAAAAATCATCAGCCCACCAACAGACACTAGTTGACACACATTTAAGAGTTGTTGATGAATTGATGAGCGTATGCTGGTTTCAGCTAATATTAAAGAGATCAGCTGTGTCAATTAATACTAAAAACTTACCTCCAGTAATATGACCAATGAAAAGAGCTTTTATAAGTGGTATTTTGATAGCATGGCTATTACAGGAAGATGACTGCCCCTGCCCCCTGAATAAGGCAATGTTTGGACTTTTGAAGCTACAATGGGCCATGTGACCAGAGCTACAAGCTTTAAAAGGTACTTGCAAATTCATTTTCACTAAAGGAGCTGTTTTGCAAAAGGGAGGGTTTTCTAATCAGGCTATCATAGTATCATACCATAGTATCAGACTAATAAAAATCAGCTTTTGTACAATACTCAGCTTTAGTTAGGTCTCTCACAGCAATTTCTTTCCACCTATTGCTGCCAATTTTCCAGGATGAATGACAATCAATGTGCTTCACTGAAAGGCTGGAGTTTTACTTAATCTGAATCAAAAACTATTTTGTATAGAACGAGGAATAGTTAAATTTTCTTATCAGTGTTTTATTTTGTTGCTGCGTCCATATGGATGGATTTTACTTCACTTCATTGGAAGGTTTCTTTTTGCTTCCTTTACTGGTAACAACTGCAGAAATGTGGGGTTTGCCATCATTTTCTGTCATGCTGGTAACAACCACTAGGTCAAATATAGAGGATCTCCTCTGTGAGGACACGGACAGCAATAAAAAAACTGATTTAGGTTTTAACCATTGCCTACTACATCCAAAACTAAAATAAACGTTTTGGCTCTAAATTCACTTCAAAAGAGAAATATGGTATATTTGATGGAATATTTCAAGCTAAGTAAAATAAAGTTTTGAATAAATTCATTTTAAATTAGAGTCCAGTAAACTAAAATAATTGTTGTCAGTTTATCTGGTATAATTGCATACTACAACTTTATTCCAAGCGTCTTGATTCCATAGGTGGGGGACAAGTCTTGTCTTCTCTTTTTCACAAAGAACTATCTATGTTACCTGCTGTCAGTCACGGACAAGGCTTCTTGCATGTTGACAGCTGACAAAGGAAAAGAGGTTGCTATTATTTCCCTATGTCTGTGAATGTACCTCGACTGCCACCCACTGACTTGCTTTCTGTAATCTACTGTCAGTATTTGGCCAATCCTCACCAACAAAAATGCCATTATTCCTTTGTGTCTCCAGGTAGGTGGTCGGAGATGTGTTTTTCCTCCCTAGGCGTAGTGTACCTGTTAAAACACTGTGTCATTTGGCTCCAGCTTTAAGCCCCTGGGCAGGAAGATGAAAGATCTGCTTTGTTAATTGCACTAGCATTTTGACTTAGCAAATGGCAATCATTCGATGTATCCTATTGTGGCATTAAAATAGGGATTTGGTTCAAGCGCTGCTTTAATTCCTCACTGGCAGTTCTAGTCTTCGAGGCACCGTGTTTAAATCATCTGCTTTTGTTTGTTAGACATCTCAGTGTCTTGGCAGCTATATACAGACATCTTAACAAATATGTGTAATTGCAAGAAGCGACAGCCCCACCCTTGCACACAGCAAAGTGCAGTATGCTTCTTCATTCCTAACTGAGGATTTTTTTTTTTCTACATTGCTCATTTATATAACACCTGTAGACCCTTGTTGTCACATCTGACTTGTGGTAGCTTACTTAGGTCTTACCGATAACACCAAGTGAGTATACAGTACTTAATTTGCAGCAGCATGTATGACA